TTTCAACATATGAATCCAGTGCAGAGGGCAGGAAGGTGCTGGTGCTGCTTCTGACGGCAGGATGAGCAGTGGCACAGCAGCAGGGCAGGCAGGAGAAGTGTCAGAGGCAGAAGGGCGGCCCGGAAGGACGTCACATGTACAGGTAGTGGAGGCATTGCAGGCAGCATGGTAGGCAGAATGGGGTCTTAAGGCAGCACACTCCAGTAGTGGAAATAAAATGTGCATTTAGCCAAAGTAAGGGAGACTATAGGCAGTGCGGACAGTTAGGTGGGTGCAGTATGTTACCTCTGGTCTATATGGTTATGGCAGCATAAGGAGGAGGGAGAGGCAGGTGGGAATACAGGCATGGGGAGTCACTGAAATGTCAGCACTCCAAATCTACAAGGGGGTGTGAAGCTATAGAGTCACAGCACTGGCAGTTCTGTTCATCCAAAGTCAATGGCACTGATCCCCACCCAGCTCTACATCCCACACTATACAGGTAGGTCTAACTGGGAGTGAGCAGTTAGCTAGAGCTAGAACTAGTGTCCCTATAAGCTAGACTAAACAGGTGTGTTTTTAGTCTAGACTTGAATATTCCGCTGGAAGACCTTTCCACAGCGGCTTAGCTCTGTTGGAGAATGCTCTGCAGCCTGCCGTAGCTCTTTATACTCCAGGTTCTAATAGATATTCTGCTCCTAGAGATTGAAGTTAAGATTGAAGGCCAGTAGATCTCTAAAGTATTCTGGTGCAAGGCCATTCAAGTGTTTTATAAGTCAATAGCAGTATTTTGTAGTCAATCTGAGACTTAACTGGAAACCAGTGAAGGGAGCACAGAACAGGGCTAATATGAGATGTTTTAGTGTTTGTGAGAACTCTGGCTGCTGCATTCTGTACCAGCTGAAGTTTATGTAAGGATCCGGATGGGCAACCAGAAAGGAGGGCATTACAGTCCAGTCTGGAAGTTATACAGTAAAGGCAATATTTCTTATGTGAGAACTGAAACATAGAAACATACTTCTCACATATGATTTCCTACGTTGGGAGGCAGTGGGAGTGATAATCACCGGATATAAGGGTGCACTGCTAGTTGTCGTCTGTCTGCTGCAGTGCTACGATTTTTGACGAATAACAGTGTGCCTGTGAAATGCCAATGATAATGCGAAGTGGGGTGGGGTGGGCGGAATTTGGTGACCCATGAAAGCTTTTGCTGAGTGATAGATTTTGCTGATCCACTAGGGAAATGCCCGGTGTGCCACATGGCCTGACCGAGGGGAGCCCCCCTGCCCGACAATTCTTACTAGTCACCAACGATCACACAACGTTTCCCAAGGGAAACCCCTCTGGCTTTCGATTTCTACCATCATCGACAATCATGCGACACTGAGGGGATTCCCCAGCTGCGATTTTTATCGATTACTGACAATCAAGCTAAGTAGGGAACCGGCCCCTTAAAGAATCTCTGCACGGCCCCTGGTACAGGAAGCCACCAGCACTTGGTCCGCTGAAGGCTTATCGGCTTTCACAGCCCAGCATTCCTGCCGCTCAGCCACATTGTAGCAAACAGTGCCTGACCATGACCACCAAAGCCCCGATTACTCAGATCAGCCTCTGAAAGCAGAGCCACGGTGATGCAATCCTGCAGGAATGCCTCTCAGGCACCTGTACACACACTTACCAAAACCAAAACTGGGCCTTTTCTCCTGACTAATTATTTTATCCTTTTATAATTGCTTAAAATGTATGAATGGTGTATATTTGCATCACACCTGTTTTATCTTGCAAAAGTTTTTACAGAATGAAGATTGGACACAGAAATTTGCGCTGCCTTGCATTGTGTATGAAATTCCCCATAAGCCAGCTGGTCTGTATTAGTGCTCGTTGTGATCTGGGATGGATAATGGTCATTTTTACCTGGCTGCGCTTTCGTTGTTTACATCTGGGGTGGTCATGATTGTACAGCTCTGCCAGCTTGGTGGTCTGGTACGGTTGACACCAGTGTTGAATAGATGAGACCCTTGCTTTTGTACCTTGTCCAACCAGTCATGGCTGACCCTCTGCATTCAATGCCGGTGATCTGGCTTTCAGTTTCTCATGACTACTCAGTGTGAGCCGCAATGTTCCAGATTGGCAGTCTGTTTCATTTCGATCATTCCACTTTGTAATCTCTTAACATTGTAATCACCAGGATCAAGACAAACTCTAACCACAAGAATTCCATTAAACCTCAGAGCACACAGTTTAACCAATAAAGGGAAAAAGGATTGTACGGTTTGGTGGACGCTTCTATGAAAAGCAACACATCATGCTTCTTTTTTTTTATTTTATTGATCTACAGAAGCAGAAACAGCAGCTCAATTGACTGCTCACAGAGGAAATGCTACTCTTAGTAAAGGCACAAACTTCACAGCTCCTCAGAATACTGCTGTCATTAACCAGGTGAGCGTATATTAGAAGTATTATGGTGAGTGTTACTAAGCCACGCCCATGCTGCGTCTTCCATCTCCTTGTGACATAACCCTTCCTAACTTACCACTCCCTGTTTTGCTAAAAGGCACTATCTTCTTGTTTATGTATGTCAGTGTGTGTGCAAGTGTGTGTTTTCTTTTTTGAAAGTATGCAAAGCCATTTCTTTCTCTCTTTTCATAGCTACGCCCCTCTGCTTCGGCTTAGCTGAGTGTCTTCCTCCTCCTCCTCCTCCTCCTTTGCTGGCTCTGGGGAATCCTCATTCCAGGTCATCGTGGTTCGATTCGTTCACCACCTGTGCAGGACAAACATCAGAGAATCAGGTACTGAATTCTAACCAGACTCATGTGGTTTTCTTCCACCTTCACAAAGTTACATATAAGCATAGTGATCTGATGCGTTATTCATATTTTTAACTATTAAATAACAACACATTTGTAAATAAATAATGGCAAGAGAATTACCATTCTTCTGAAACCATCGTTCAATGATCTCGGAAATATGTAGAAGCTCTGTTAGAAACCTCTGGAGCACATTACCAGGTCCACTCTGCCAATCTTCAAAACGAGCCCATCAGAAGACTTACTTGTCCATCCCTAGTCTCGATGGTCTTTATCAGGACCTTCTTTGTCCTGTTCTCAATCGGCCTGGCCTCCATCATGGATTCTGTGAAGACAGACAGGAGAAGGTCATAAGATCATCCCCCACAATAAATGAGGCCTCATTGTGTGACATCAACTGCTCTCAGCACGTTCAAAGCTTACAATGGTCCTTATGACTTTCGATCACTGAAAACTGATCCCACAAGTCATTTTCATCCTAAACTGCTACAGTCCCAGTATCATGGTTACACTTTCACTGCATCATCTCGGCCATTTTTAAGCACTCTTAGCAAATTTCAGTGCCGTGGCAGTTAAATTCTTTTGACAAGGTTGTGACATCAGCTAAACTCACCTCTCAGGTTTAGAGACGAGATGCTGGGAAGTGGGGTGGAGATCCTAGGAACAGAGGGGAAAAAACCAACCAAGGTCAAAGCTTGACACATCTAATGGGGTTATAAGGCTGTGGACCCTGATTACAGAACTATTTCCTGGCCTTAGTACAAAGCTATCATGTCCTTTTAGGGGCAGAAATGAAAATACTAACATCAAAACATTCTCACGTTCCTTTTGTTAACAACAAGGCTTTGTTGTTTATATGAAATCTGTTGGAAGTAAGTTCTTCTGACCTATTTTGGCTAAATCCTATAACCGGATTGTGTCCAGAAAACCTTCACTCAACAGGCATCACAGTGCAATGATTTCGCTCAGCAGGAGATCGGGTGGTCTGTTCGTACCGGCTCTCCTCCCCTTCCAGCAGCTTCCTGTAGGTGGCGATCTCGATGTCCAGCGCCATCTTGACATTGAGCAGGTCCTGGTACTCGCGCAGGTGGCGCGCCATCTCCACCTTCATGCCGCCAATCTCCTCCTCCAGACGGGCAATGCTGTCCTGGTAGGTGGAGGCCTCCAGGGAGAAGCTGTCCTCCATCTCCCTCATCTGCCGCTCCAGGGACTCATTCTGTGGTCAGGGTGAAGGTGATTCAGGGCCTCATGTCATTCAGGAGGAGATACAGGAGCAGGGATGGGAGGGGAAAGGTGGGCGAGCAGGACCGGACACTGTGAAGGATCCACATGGGCACAGGAAGTAAGAGTTCAGTGATACAAAGTAACAGGAAGTGAAAGGGAAATATGCAGGTAGCATAGCAAGATGGTTAAGGCTGTGGTGACAGGAAGTAAGGTTTTAGTGATACAAAGTAACAGAAAGTGAA